CAGAGCAGAGGAACAGCCCTTTGTTCCCTGCCGGCACCTTGATGTTCTGCCCACGGTACAGCACGCCTTCGTTTTGGAGATCGTCTCCAGGCAAGCTTCTCCGTATGGAAGACTTGTCAGAATACCTTTTACAGTTGATATTTAGTTGTTTCTTGTATTGGAGCCGTGCTGCTTCAGCTGTTTGGTTTTTTAATTATTATTATTTTATTACTATGTTATCACATTTTGGTGCAGTAGAAAGAGATTGGGGGGGTCCTGCTGGAGCACATCTTACCATGTCAACAACCTGAGGAGTCGGTGGTACCTCTGACTTCCTGTGCCTTCTGCAAGTGTCAGTTATAGGCGGCTAACTTGGCAGCTGTTGGTATTATTAGACTAATTAACTCATCTTTTTCATAGTCAAGGTACAAAGTATTCCCTTCTTAGGAAGGGGGTTACTTCTTAAAGAAAAGAAAGGAAAAAAAAAAGGCGGCAATGATTTATAATTGTATCTACTTGCTGCCTTCTGCAGAAGGTTGATGAGGATGTGGGCTCCTCAAAGTATGCGGAGGCATTTGTGTTGCAAATAGGGTGGTAACAAATTTTGGCCTCCGTTCCTTTCCCAATCTGTAATTTCTGATTTCTTAATAGATTTTTGGATCTGGATTAGAATTTATCACACAAATTAAGACTTACAAAACTGGCTGTTCTCTTCCTGCTTAATTTGCTGGGATCCCAAGCTGTCCTCTCCCTCCGACGCCTTAAAGCCCTAGGAGTGAGAGGGCTGTATGTAATCCCCTCTTGAGGTAGTGTGGGCTATATAAGCTCTTGCTAACACTTAGGCGTGTGCTTTTGGGGGTCTGCTTCATGCTATTTTCTCTGGAAAGGGCTCTGTCTCTGTGGCAAGATTCCTGCTTTCTGAAAACGGCTTCTTGCTGTTCTCTGAAAAACTGGTTGCTTATTTCTTTGGTGTTGATCTCTTTGAACTTGGTCAGGTCTCAGTGACCTACCAAAAGTTGTTACACTACAGTAATTCCTTAAAGCAGGTTTTAAAGGCAAGACTTCTTTCCTGCTTTTCCATCCCCTCATTCCTGTATTTTTTTCTTGTTGCCTAGTCAACCCAAGGGGATTCTCCTTCCAGAACTGACCACCTTGTTGGAGGATATGAGGTGTGGGATCTGCTTCTGGTTACCATCAACCTGAAGCCAAGCCTGTCTGAGCTCAGACTAGTACAGAAAAAGGCATAGAAACAACACCCCCTTTTTTTGGTAGTAAAGCCTCAAAATGCTTGAGGGTTTCTTTAAAATTTTGTTAATCCTTCTTGTCTGCTGAACTAGACCAAGCAAACAAGTCTGGTCAGTTTTTTTTCTCCCTCCTGACCTAGGCCAGCGTGGATACCTGGTTGTGCTGCCAGGGTTCCCGGCTTTTTAGGGAAATGCTGACACTGTGTGTTTGTACTCCATCTCCATCCCCACCCCCAAATAATTGGCACAAGTCATAAACACTGGCTTGAGTGCTGCGTGAGAGCATCCCCGAATCCCATTTAAGGAAGATGGTTGAACATGGTGTGTCTGTTTGAGCAAGGTGAGGGCAGCTGAAAACAGAGCGGCCTCTGACTAAGCTGCCAATTAAAAACTGGATATTCTGCTTCCCCCTAGAGAGGTGTGGAGGCTACTGGAAGTGTGCTTCCTCTTAAAATGTCTGTGGTATTCGTTTTCTTTGGATGAGTGACGGAGTGCAGTGCTGACCTACCTGGGTTTTTTTTGTACTCAGACAAACATTGTTTGCAAATCTGTGTATAATGTGAGAGTTGAGTGTTGTGGTTTTGCGTTGTGCTTTTGTGGGTTCTCTCCATTTCAGAGACTTGCTCGTGAGGGAGGGAGGGAAGGAAGGAGGATTACTTCAGTCTCTGGCAAGCAATTTCAGTTTTTATTAAGTAGGTACTGGATCCTGGTGGAGCTCATCCTCCTTCTGCCCAGGGATAAGCGATGTGAACTGTATTGGACAGGCTGTTGGCACGTGTGTTTTGTGACCCTGCACAGGTTTCCTGCCTCCTCTCCCCCCCAGCTGAATTAAACTGGGATTTTTAGGCTTGTAGCTAGGCAGAGCTTCGACTGGGTACACTTAATAAGATATATGCCTGCCAGTCAAGGGGATAGTAAACATGGACTGGCAGCTGGTGCCTCAGCACCCTCCCTCGCTCCTTCTCGTCCCTTCTGCGCTTGTGCCAGCAGGACGCAGCACCCGGCACGACCACCCGGCCTCCTGGAGGAGAGGCTGGCCCTGCCGTCCTGAGCGCGAGCAGGTCTCTGCACAAGCTGCTGAGCGTGTCACGAGGCTGTTCAGGTGGTGTGCTTATGTTCTGGAGAGACTGGTGCAGGTGAGCCGTGCTGGAAGCAGCTGAGTGCCAGGGCAGAGAGAGGCATGTTAGATGTGCTGAAATAGCTCTGCCAGAGCAGACAGTTGGCCTGCTGGGTTTCGGCAGCAGTACTTGACAGTGAGGTAAGTATAATGTACGTGGCTATGTGCGGGTAGTAGCTACACTATTACCTCTTCTGTAGAGGAGCAGGGAGACTCCTCCTTACCAGCATATCTCTGTTTTCAGGGCCAGTAGATGTGGGGTGGCTCTCCTAGAGAGCATCACTGCTTGTTAGTGTTTGTGCAAACTGCTCGTGTTAACAAAAAAAGCGTGTCTGTTTATCTCAATGGATGGAGAGTTGTTTTGTTCTCTTGTCTTCATTCATCCTTTTCTCTATTTCCCTAGGTCTGTTTGGCGCCAAATCTTGTCTCCGTGTGTGTCATTTTGTCTCTTTTAATACACTGCCCTGACTTGCTTGCTGCGAAGGGAGTATGCATCTGGAGATCAAAGTTGCTCTTAACTTCATCATCTCATACTTGTACAACAAGCTTCCTCGGAGGCGGGCAGACCTGTTTGGTGAGGAGCTAGAGCGCCTGCTGAAGAAGAAAAGGTCTGTTTGGAGCCAAATCTTGTCTACGTGTGTGTCATTTTGTCTCTTTTAATACACTGCCCTGACTTGCTTGCTGCGAAGGGAGTATGCATCTGGAGATCAAAGTTGCTCTTAACTTCATCATCTCATACTTGTACAACAAGCTTCCTCGGAGGCGGGCAGACCTGTTTGGTGAGGAGCTAGAGCGCCTGCTGAAGAAGAAATATGAGGGTCACTGGTACCCAGAGAAGCCTCTGAAGGGATCTGGCTATCGCTGTGTTCATATAGGGGAGACAGTGGATCCGGTGGTGGAGCTGGCGGCCAAACGGAGTGGGCTGGCTGTGGAGGATGTGCGTGCCAATGTGCCGGAAGAGCTGAGTGTCTGGATCGATCCTTTCGAGGTTTCCTACCAGATTGGTGAGAAGGGCTCTGTTAAGGTCCTCTACCTGGATGACAGCGAGGGCTGCAGCGCCGCAGAGCTGGACAAAGAAATCAAGAGCAGCTTTAACCCTGATGCCCAGGTATTTGTCCCCATCGGCAGCCAGGACAACTCGCTATCCAACTCTCCGTCCCCCTCCTTTGGCCAGTCTCCTAGCCCTACCTTCATCCCTCGCTCTGCTCAGCCCATCACTTTCACCACTGCCACATTTGCTGCCACAAAGTTTGGCTCTACCAAGATGAAGAAGGGTGGAGGAGCCGGAGGAGGGGGCGGCGGAGCAGGGGCTGGGCAGCAGCCGAGGATGGTCAGGTCTCCCACCACCAACCTGCTGAAGCACAAGGGCCTCTCCCTGTCTATGCACTCTCTGAACTTCGTCGGGAGCACTGGGAGCCAAGCACCGCAGTCGCAGCTCTCCCCCAACGCCAAGGAGTTCGTTTACAGCGGCGGGGCACCCGGAGCCAGCCGTCTCTTCTTTGAGGGTGTTAACAGTGAGAGCCAGGCCAGCAGCATCCCGCCGGCATCGCAGTTCAACACCGGCACGGGTGGTACCTTTGATATGGCTCAGGTCTTCGGTGGCAGCACCAACAGCCTCTTTTTGGAGAAGTCTCCCTTCGTGGAAGGACTCAGCTACAACCTGAATGCCATGCAGTATCCCACCCAGTCGTTCCAGCCTGTCGTCCTTGCCAACTGAAAACAAGGAAGGAGAGTATCTTGGGGTGGGGAGGGCGGGTGGGGGTGGGGGAAAACAAGAACAAAACAAACAATAAAGAGGGAGAGAAAAGAAAAATAGAAATATACAGAAAATACTCAAATCTTATAAATATAGCTTCTTGGGAAAAGAGAGAGCCCAGTGTTGTTGCGCTGTGCTGGCAACGCTCCTGAAGCACTGACTTGTTTTTTAACTCAGTCCCTGTGCTTTTTTCCTACTCACTTTTTTACTCCTTAGATGAGTCTTGGGACTTTTTTGGTTTGTGTTCCCCCTTCCCCCACCCCAGGACTGGCGCAACCATAGGTCACGATGCTCCTGATTCCCTGCACTACCGCTCCCAGCGCTGGACATAGGGTACTTCCAGCTGGGTGTAGGGATGTCTTCTTCGTACCACCTCGCTGGAGGCTGGAGGAGGGATGGGGAGAGGATGAGTCAGTATCGGTGGGGAGACACACGCTGTCGTTGCGTGCTAGCCAGAAATGGGTGGGTGAGCTTGCTTTTTCTGTTACAGCTCTGCGTGTAGACGGAGAGCATCTACTGTGCCCACAGGCGTAGACCATTGTCCTCTTGTTGCTCCAGCCTGGGCTGGTGTCAGCTGTTCTGTCTGTGTGCTGAAAAGCACTAACTCCTTGACCGCCTCCCAGCACGTAGCAGGGAGGGCAGAGCATTACTGTGAAATGGCTTCTTCCCGCTCCATTCCTCATCTGCACTTCCAGCCACAGCTACAGGACAGGGCTTTGGCCTGAGTGACTCTGATTGCTGTCCCCTTCAGCATGTGAGCAAGGAGGCCTTTCCGTGCCCTCTCGGGGCCATCCGGTCGGTCCAGGTGACAACACTGAGGTGTAGAAACACCATCCACCTGTCCCTGCGGCTGGGGGAGGTGGTGCTGAGCCAGGCAGCCCCACTTGGATCCTGCCCCTGCTTCCTGGACCTTCTCCCCAGTAGCAGGGACCAGCATCCACCTGGGGTGGCCTCGGAGGTCTGAGTTCTCATTCCCTGCTGTGAATTTGTTGTCTTGTCTCGGAGAGGGAATTCCTTCTTTTTTTAGTTGGAGGCAGCACGACTTTTGAGGAAGAGAAAGGGCTATGTTGTTGAAGGTGCTCTCTTGAGTGGTAGCATAAGGGTTTGTGCTTTTGGCCAGGTTTGTACCTGACTAAATCCCCTCCCCTGCCCTTCTGGAGGGGTGGGAGGAGGTGGTTGATCTGGTGCAGAAGGGAAGCACCTACCATAAACTCATCATTCCAGCCAGATCACGTCAGTGTGGATGGTGGCAGGCTTAGAGCAGAGCAGGGATGGGCACTCTGAAGGCAGGAGGCTGTCCCAGCATGTGAATGTATGCTACCTCCCCACCACAGGGCCGGGATCTGGGAACCCCCCCTGCAGCTTTCCTCGGGATGATGTGCTGCAGTTGGGTGGTCATGGCTTTTCAGCTAGGTTGCTTCTGCGTCAGGGGCTCCAAAACCCACCTTCATAGGAAGCCGAAGGAGCGCTGCTTCTTGCTCAGGTAGGGTGGAGGCTCTCTAGGTGGGAAGGAGGTCTCCTTGGCAGCTGTTGTGGGAGTATGGAAGCATGCAAAGAGGAGAGAGAGATGATGAGACTCCAGTCTTTGAAGTTCTCAGTTTAAAGGAAAAAATAAGCTTTTTGCTGCCTTGCAAACTTGAGGTTTGGTTTTCTTTTAATGATGTCTCTGGAGCACCCTCTGAAACCCACTTATCCTGTATCTGTCGAACCAGCATGCTCTTTCAAGACAACCCTATTTCAGGGGAGATGGGCTTGAACTCGTGCTTGTCCTGCTCCCTTCCCTCAAGCCGAGACGAAGGCACTCCAGCCCTCTTGTAGTTGTGTCACCAGTGAGCCTTTGCAGAGGTAGCGGGCTGTCCCAGGGAGACTGCCACTGCCAGGAGCTCTTTAAGGAGTTTCCAGCACACCCTTCCCCTCGCTGTGTGACTGGGGGAGACCCGGTCCCAACCTCACACCCAGCGTGGGTTCCCAAGCAGGCTACTTGCCGTCGAGCGATGACCAATGCGGTGGGTGGGTGAGGAGAGCAGAGCCCAGCTAGCTTCCCCCAAACTGGTGCTCGTGGCCTCAACCCTGTGGGTTTCCAGACTAGGACGAGTTGCTGAGGAATGGCGGAGCTGTTGGGTTTCCCTTTTTTTTTTTTTTTTTTTAAACCCACCCTTACTTAGGGACATTACCACTGCCACCACGTCCTTCTCCCCAGGAGTGTGCTGCTGAGTGCCGGCCCACTTACCACACTAGACTGAGGGATGCTCAGCCCGCGATGGCGGGACCCGGTCCAATTGCCCCCACACTGTCCCCACATCTAACAAAGCCACCTGTGAGCCGCTGCTGCGGGACAGCGTGTTTTCCTCCGGCAGAGGGAGGGAGGGGGAGAGGTGGGGATGCCCCCCCTGGCCACCTGCTTGTGTGTGTGTGAAGCTTTGATGCTGCTTTGCCCTGCCACACGTATTATACCTGCTTTAAAAATTAGTGGTGTGAGTGGAAGGAGGAAAAGAGGAGGGACCAACCTCTTTGTATCTTAAAAGGAAAAAAGCGTGCTTCAGAAACGTTCCTCCAGTGACAGGCAGCAATGGAAACTAATGGCCTTTTCGGGTCTTTTCTAGTCTTGGATGTAGGCGTTCAGCTTCAATTTTATTTTTTAAAAACCTGCACTAATTTACCTGGTTTCTTAGGAAGAGAAGAGAGAATTTTTTTTTTAACTTTTATTTTTTATGGGTTTGTGTTCTTTTTGTTGATGTCCGTTTGTATTGAATAATTTGCTACATTTGTAAAATGTAAGAGGTATATATAATATATGTATATTTCTAACGTAAAAAAAAAACTGTAATTTTTTTCTTTTCAAGATTTTTTCTTAAAAAGAGGAGAGAAAAAATATTTTTTCAGGAAAAAAACTTTAAAAAAAAAAGAAGCGGTGAAGATTCCTGCCTCCCTCCTTTTCCTCCCGCCCTTCTCCAAGGAGTGAATTGACAGTTGCCTTGTGGGAGAGGAGTGAAAGAGGACAGAAGTCTGTATGTCTCTGAGCAGAGGGTTTCTGTGTGTGCTCTGCTTGGGTTTCTTTCCGAGAAGGGGGCTACTGAGAGGGGGAACCAGGGGGTTGCTGTCTTTTTTTTTTTTTTTTTCTTTTCTTTTTTTTTTTCTTTAGCGAAGGAGGAATACAATCAGAGTTTTGTATTCAGAATGTTGTGCAATATTTTGGAACGGGACATTGGTGTGTCTAGAGATTTAGTTAAAAACAAAACAAAAAAAAAACCAACACAAAAAGGTTGATCAAATCTGTACAGTTTCTATTGTTCCAGATTTTTTTAAGTTTGTATTAAAAGCATGATATAATAACCCGTTGTTGTGTGGTGTGTGCTCGGTGGGGTGAGAACACCTCTGCTGTGCCTGTGCAAGGAAGGACGCAAGCCGCCTTCCCTGCCTGCTTGCGGATGAACCAGCACTTGACGTCGTCTTCTTGCAGGCACAGTCGCTGTTTTGCAGTGTGCTCCGCAGAGGTTTCGCTGCATTAGGAATAGCCCAGTGATGCCCAGGCTTGTGCCAGGCGGTGCAGGCAGCTGTCTCCCTGACCTCTGGCACTGCCCAGAATAGCAGTGGCATAGGAAAAAGTGGCGGTGTGCCTGGCCTTCCCTGGGCCCTGCAGTGATTCAGCTCCCTGGAAGCAGGGAGAGGAGGGAGTGGGGAGGCTTTGCTTTTGGTGCTTTGTGCCTCGGAGGCCTTCAGTCAATCAGCAGAGTTCCTAAAATACCCAGCTTCTGTGGCAGCTAGTTGCCTGCTGCCATCACCTGCAGGGCTGGGCTGGGATCTGCCTGGTGTGGTTGCAGGGGGTGGATGGACCCTTCCCAGGCAGTGGTTTTTGCAGAGGGAGGTGCTGTGAGGGGGCTGATTTCTCTTCCCTCTGTGCAGATCAGTTTGGGTTTACCCTGGGGCATCTGGGGTACTTGCTAAGGAAAGGGAACCTTCAAGGTGCGTGTGCAGGGCCATGCCCTCTCTACTGGGAATGTTCATCCAAGTTGACTTCTCATAGCAGTGAAAACAAGCAGTGAGTATAAAGGTCTGATTCTGTTTCCCTTTTCTTTCTAACCTCTCGTTGCTCAGCTTTAACCAGAGCTGCTGCTTTTTAGCAAAATGAGATGAGATGGCTCCTCTGTGCTGAGGAAGATGCTGAAATGCCTGTCTGACTCGATGTGTGCCGTATGGCTGCGTGACCCAGCTTTCCCCAGCCCCACTGCTCTCCTGCTGCCTCCTCCAGGGGTGGCTCACAGCTCCCTGTGCCGCCTCCTTAAAAAGCTGTTGAAGGGAGCTTCTCTGAACATACTTGAGGAAACCAAATGTGGAACTGGTACTGGCTGCTGGCTCCTGCTAGCATCCTTACCCATGCCCCCTCCACCCCTCTAGCCTGAATTTCTTCCTGGAGGAGCTTGCGCTTGGCTTTGCCCTTGGCTTTGCGAGCCCCGGGAGCTGGGCTGCTGCTCACGCCGGCTGCACACCACGTGACTGTCACACTCTGCTAAGCAACAAAACTATTTTTTCCCCTTTGTGTCTCAAACCCCTTGTAATCATTTATCTAAAGCAGGCACAAACTTTTACCCTTAGACATGCTTCTGGAAGTGGAAAATCGAGGGCGAGTATGTGCCTTCCTGATCCTTGCCCTGCATTTGCTTGGCTGTGACGCAGGGAGGCACGGAGCCTTTCCCTTTTTGGGCACAGGTACGCTGAGCAGTAGGGCCTGGAGTTAGTTTACAGCTGATAGCTGTGCAGCCTGGGCAGGGATTAGGGAAAAGGCTTAGTATAGCCTTGTTCCTCCCAAGGGATTTGCTCCTGTGCTGTTTCGGGGAGCCTGAAGGGTGTGGGGAGGTGAAATGCTCCTCTGCCTGCCTCAAAGCAGTGTGCAGCAGGGGAGGGGAGCCCAGCAGAGCATGGGGATGGGGATCTGCCCTCCGTCAGCCTTCAGAGACGAAGAGGTGTCGGAGCCCTGCGCTCGGCTGGTGTGGGGTGGTGCTTGGGTGTGGGAATATTTGCCGGCTGTTTGGGCAGTGACCGAGTCAGTCCCCACATAGGGTGCTCCAGCAAGGCACGGCAACAAGATGGGACTTGTCTCCCGAAACCTCCAAAGCGAGGGGCGTGGGGGTGTTGTTTAGAC